GTGAACCTCACGGCGCCCCACGGTCCCGGTGCCTTCTTCCGCTACATGCGCCAGCCGATCAAACAGGAGCTCATCTGCAAGTGGCTGGCAGCGGATAGCCCCGCGCCCCCGCGCCTCTGCTCCAAAACTTTCAGCACCATGCACGAGCTGGTCACGCACGTCACCGTGGAACACGTCGGCGGCCCGGAGCAGGCCAACCACATCTGCTTCTGGGAGGAGTGTCCGCGCCAGGGCAAGCCCTTTAAAGCCAAATACAAACTTGTAAATCACATCCGCGTGCACACGGGCGAGAAGCCCTTCCCCTGTCCTTTCCCGGGGTGTGGGAAGGTGTTTGCTAGATCAGAAAATCTCAAAATACACAAAAGAACTCACACAGGTCAGTATTCGGCACTGTCTGTCTCGTGCGGACCCTCTGGGGGAGCAGGCGGCCTCTTCTGGGCCCTCCGGGCTGGATTTCCTCAAGTTCCATCTGGGTGGAGGGAGGCTATCTTGGTATTTCCATGACCCAAGTCCATAAAATACTAATTATGCCCTTCTATTAGAATCACAGAAGTTTCCTGAGCCTGTGTGTGGAGGAAAGCAAGTGATTTCTGCTCTGTGAGAGGGGGCGAGTGTGAACATACTTGGGTCTCTGTGTGTGCAAATGTGTGTTCTCTGATCGAGCTTGATTTGCAGGTTTTAAAACAGCACTATTCCCCAAAGTCATAAGACATAGTACCAATTTCATTTTCTTGGTCCTTTTGGAATCCTGAGGCAAGTGCTCTTCCCCTGGTGGACTTGACAACCTGACTACCACCTGAACTAAGGGATCATCGGGCCCTTGGTGTCTTCTTGAAGATTTGGGGGTCTCATGGGCTGACTTTGCCCAGGTTTTGGAGCCTTGGTGACCTGACACTTGGGATGTTTGACAAACTCCTTTGCTTTAGCAGAGACCAAGGAGACTCATCTGCCTTATATGTCGTTTACTGAGCTGTTAAGTGAAATGGGGACATGTGTCAACCACATCTGTTAGTTCTAGTTAACAGAAAGAACAGGAGCCTGCTGAAGAGCATGCAAAGTTGAACTCCTCTGGCCAGAAGCATCTCTAATTAATGCAATTGCAAGGAGAAAGTTTTCACACTTCCCAGAACAGCCTGTGAAGTTACATTAATTAGTTTAGCAGCCGATGTTTGTATTCTCTCTAGCTAGGGTTTTCTCACCCAAACACCCTAGAAGTTTAAGAAGGCAACATCTCCTCTCCTCTATTTTGGGGGCTGGAGAGGGGGACTGGTGGGGAGAGGAGAAGATAAAATAAGTTCCAGCTTGGTGCCCCCCACTTCTCTTACTCTCTTGGGGCTCTACCTTACTCACCTCTCTTCTTGGTGGAAATATCAGCAAGGATTGAAGTCAAAGGACTCCCCCAGGCTGATACTGCTGGGGAAAGAAACTTGCAAAGCCTGATTTCTCCCCCAAGCCCTGCAATCTTGGGGAAGGTCCTTGGCCAGGACGCTGGCACAGGTGGAGTCCAGACCAAAGTCCACTCTTAGTTTCCTTTATTTCCATAGTATATCTAGAAATGTACAATTTCCCCCCCCACTGTTTCCAGTATCTTTTCCACCCCCTCCGCAAGCAGTTGTTCCCCTTTAGCGCTCTCCGAGTTTCGTCCCAGAGGAGGGGAGGAGAAGTGAGGCCCCATCACCTCCCACAGGCCCGCTGACTCCAGGAGTTGATGGCCCGTACTGCGAAGGTAGACGCGCAGTCCTGAGCCAGAGAAGGAACTCATTTTTAATGACGGGTTTGTTTTTGTTTTTTTTTTAAACAAACAAACTTTTACTGCTCTTTGCCGGCCTACTGTTTGAAGTCCATGAAGCAGAAAATGGTTAAATTCTTAGTGCAATCGACCTACAGCAGAGAAGCAAGTTCAGTGCGCCCGGGCTGGCTCAGGTTTGCGTCCATTCAGGACAGAATTTTAAGTGCGTCCTTTCCACTGGCAGTCCTGACTCATTATCTCTGGAGTTGAAAGAAAGAAAGAAAGAAAGAAAGAAAGAAAGAAAGAA